GGCTGGTAGCTCCTGGACCAGTTCTGCCACAAAGCACTAGTGGACTGGTTTCTTGGCCAGAAGCAGTAGACTGGTTTCTTGGTGCTCCATTCACACAGATCACCCCAGATGTAAGAACTGCAGATCCACTCGGATGCTATCCCTCAACCTAGAGCTGTGATCTTCCATGTTTTGTCCCAGCAGGATGTCCTTCCAGCAGCCCTCAAACTCCTCAGGAATGAAGGCCAGTGATGTAGACAGAGGGAGGCAATTAAAGGAAAATGGGCTGCATGGCTTTCTTCTTACAAGTCAGAGAATCACAGGATCAACTCAGTTGGAAAACACCTGTGACATCAAGTCTGATCAATGGACCTTTCAGGTCATTGTCATGCAATGGGGTGGATAAAGGACATGCGATGTATGTTGTGCAAGCTCTAGTAACCAGATAACAGCTTCACTCAGACTCCCGTGCATGGGGTCATCGTTCCCTCACTGCATGCTACAGCATAGGCATAGCTAACCCAGGCAGCAAGCTCAACAGGGCCGGGAGTTTGGAGCCACTTTGAATATCCCAGTCATTGTCCAACTGGAAGCACCCCACAAGAGGGAGCCCAGCTCCAGAAGCATGGAGAATTTTCAGAGGTTTATGTCCTGCTAAGTTGGCCAACAGCACTCTCAGTCCTTCTAAAGAAAAGCTCAGCCTTTATCTTTACCTGTGTTTTTGAAGTTTGATACCATCACAGGGATGGAAACCTGCTGCTTTTGCATCTCTTTTTGATGTCGTCAACTCCTACCATGTTGCCAGACCTCAAGTTCCAGCCATTGTTTTGCACTGAATGTAATGTGTGTGTGCAACATCTTCAATAAAACACATCTATTCATTGTGAAAAGGCAAAAGACCTGGTTAAGCCATTTTGGTTGCTGTTTATATGACACAGAGATACCAGGTTGGAGTTGCTTAAAATCTTCAGTATTTGCTGTAGGTGAGCGAAGGATCGTATGGAGTGTGTGTGAAGCGTGTATGAAGCATTGTATGAAGTATTGCATGAAGCAGGTCTGCATCAGGATGGTGCTTGGGGGTCTGGTGAGGTGAAAAAAGCATAATAGGAATGGCTAAACCTCCTGGCATTAAGGACCACTACAGCCTTCCAACTGAGATCCACCAGGCACCCACTGAGCCCTTCAGAGGGATGGGAGGAGACCTCCAGGGGTGGGAGGTCCCAACGTCCTATTGCTCTGCCATAGCATGCAGAAAGGTTTCATGATCCCTCTGCCTTCCTCCCTCCCACAGACAGAATAAAATGGCCCCAAATCTTTCATGCCTCCAAATGATCTTAGTCCATATTCTGGCCAGTCTTGATCATGGTGGAGAATAAGAGGAAATGGTCCATGTTCACCTTGGATGGGTGAAGCAGCAAAAGGTTTTGGACAGGATTGCACAGCAGAACTGGCCTGTTTCTGCCTGCTGCTCAGCTCTTCACACTAACCCAGGGTTGGTCTTTCTGTTCTGGTCTACACAAGCCAGCACGTGGAATAGAGAGAAGAATAATGAGGGAGCATCTCCATTAAGAAAAAGGAAAGGGAGAAGGGACCATTCCCAAGGGGATGATTCCCAGGACACTGTTGGTTTTGTGTGAGTTATTTTGCTGAGGATCCCAGTGGGCCCTTGCATGGGGTGAAATACTCATCAGCACATCCCCAGATCCTCTGCCTGAGCCTCGGCACAGCAGGTCTTGGGGTGGAGGTGCCTTTGCATCGAGATAGCTCCCAATGGGAGCGCACTTGGTTCCTGCCAGAGGGAAGATCAGCACCAGGGAGCAAGCAGAGTTCTCAGCAGAAAGCCTGGAGAAGAGCTCTGCTGGAGCAATGCTTGCCTTGAGGACCCTCACCCAGCACTGCTCCCATTCTGAAACCTGCCAGGGAATGCTCAGCCATTCCCTGAACCAGCCGAAGGCCAAGGAGCCTCTGCCGCAGGAAGCAGAGGTCTGGGGAGGATCCGTGTAGGAGATCCAGCAGCACACGTGTGAGCAGAGCTGGAGACCACGGTGGGGTGAGGGCTGCAGATGTGGGGCATCTCCATCCGCCACTTCAGCAGAGCTGCGTCTGCCGCCCCGTGTGCTTCCCAGCCTGTGGGTACCAAGCAGGCGGCCGAGGCTTGGGAACCCCTACATAAGGTACTGTCTTTTAGAAGCACATGTTCAAAAGCCTGTGTGGCCTCCTCGGGGAGCTGTGGTTTAACATCTGTGTGAGGGAAGAGAGGTGAAACACTTCAAGCTGTTAATTCCTATTCTGTGATGCCCTGAGGTCTCCTCTTTGTGCCCTGGGATCACTGACACTACTGCCAATAGGTTTATTTCCTGTGAGGCACAGGAAGAGCAGTGTGAGGCATATCAGAGGCATAGCAGAGAGGAGAGGAGAGGAGAGAAAGATGGAGAGAGGAGAGAAAAAGGGAAAGAGGAGAAGAAAGGGGAATGGGAGATGGAGGGAAGGGGAGAGGGGGAGAGGAGGAAGAGAAGAGGAAGAAAGAGAAGGAGAAGGAGAAGGAGAAGAAGGAAAAACAAGGAGAAGGAGGAGGAGGAGGAGGAGGAGGAGGAGGAAGACCACTCCTGCCACCTCCATTTGGTTCGCACTGCCAGCTCCTCATATCCCAATCTTTTCCCGAGCCCTGCCCTAGGAAACTCTCCTGTTGCCCTCCTGCATGCAGAGCGATGCTGCAGACCCTGCTGTGCACTGTGTCTGTGTCCACACTATAATTAAAAGAGGGATAAGGATAATTCTGTCCTGGAGACCCCTGATGCTTCCTGGCCCGCTCCACAGCTCTTCCTCTTGCCTTCCTAAGAACGAGGGCTTTACTTCACACCCTGTGGATGCTATTCCCTGCCCAGTGCTGCACACTCCTTCACTCCTGGGGCACGGCAAGCTGGAAGCAGCCTGGGATGTCAAGGAATGGGTTAATGGTGCAGATGGCGGTGGGATGATGCTCCAGCCACGTCCTGCTCGCTTAAGTGCAGGCATCCCTTGTATGGATCCCAGTACAGCAAGTGCCTGCCCAGAGTGAGAGACGTGGCCAGGGCTGGGCAGCACAGCTCTGAGCAGGTTCAGCTTTTCTGCTTACACGGGAAGACAAACAGCCAGGAAATAAAATCCCCCAAACTACTCATTTGATCGAACCATCGATTAAGATGAGTTCAATTTTGGTTGGAAAATGCTTTGAATTTGAGTGATTCCTTCTGGTTTTCATTTTTCTCTTTTCCCTCTGAAGCAACAGTTTGGCTTGGTTTATACTTTTATGTCTGGGGAGGTGATATAGAGAAATGGCTGCATATTCAAATGGTTCCTTTTGAGGGGTGCATACATCCCTCCCTCACTGCCTCACTGCAGTGGAGAGATGGACTCAGATGGTGCAGACAGCCCCATTGCCTGCTCCATCCTGGGAAGTTGGTCTTAGGCCTATTTTGGCTCCCTGGGACAGTCTGGCCACTGTTGATGAGCATTTACTGGGATCAGCTGCTGTGGCTGCTGCTCGTGGTCCTCCAGCTTGGATGGGTTTGCTGTCTGAATGTGTTCGCCTCTCTTTAAATGCAGTTACTGGGGTTTGTAAAGACACGGATCCAGTTTTCATCTCTACAGCAGGAAAGGTCCTTACAGAACCTGCCCTTCACCCCTCTCTTCATTGGCAACCCAGACTCATCAGTCACTTCTGCATTTATTGGTGCCAAAAGACTGAAGATGAACTGAAACATCCAGGGATTATCGACCTCGAGCGCCTGCCTTTCACAGCCACATCCCCTCAGATGCTTTACAATGACCCTCATGCTGTAACCACACCTGAGGGGCTGCAGGAGCTTGGCTCAGATGCTTGCTGGCAATCACTGCAGGGCTTTGCTCATTCAGCTTCCACCTTGATGGAAGTGGTTTGCTGGAGATTTCATCACTCGAACAGCTTTTAGATGACTTGTCAGTAACAGCTCACTTGCACTGCATGTGAATGGTGTATTAAAATCTAAAGCATAACTTATGTGTTATAGGTCAGGATGGAAACCCCCACACCAGGGAAATAAATCTGGATTGCTATTTCAGGAGAAGGGTTTCGCCACGGATGTGCAGTGAGAAAGATTAATATAGTTTTCACAGATGAATGTTACTTTAAAACACTCGGATTAACAGCCTGCAGAGCTTGCCATAAACCAGCCTGCATCCCTGTTTTACATGGATAGGGAGGAAATCATCGGAAAGCTCAGTCATGTTGCAGACAGCAGTTATGTGCTTAGAATCATAGAAAGGTTTGGGATGAAGGGAGCTTAAATCTCCTCCATTCCCAACCCCTGCCCCGGGCAGGGACCCCTTCCACTGGAGCAGCTTGCTCCAAGCCCCTGTGTCCAACCTGGCCTTGAGCACTGCCAGGGATGGGGCAGCCACAGCTTCTCTGGGCACCCTGTGCCAGCACCTCAGCACCCTCACAGGGAAGAGCTTCTGCCTAAGAGCTCAGCTCAGCCTCCCCTGTTTCAGTCTAAACGTCCCTGTTTAAGCTCTCCCAAGCCAGGCTGGGCTGGCGCTGCCGTCGCATCAGCCTTTGACATTCCACCTCAGCGCTTTCAAATCCCAGTATTGAAACAAACCTGACCCCTGAGAGCCGAAAAGGACCTGGAGCAGAGGCTCCATCTCCCTGCCCGTTCTCCTCAGTGCAGGGCACTCCTGGAAGGCTTACAGGCACACAGTGAGGTGAATAACCAGATTTCACTCTCTTCTCCACTGATATTCCATCTGTTTTCAGGCCGAAAGGATGCAAATCCCATTTGTGTGTGCAGACAAACGAACACGCGTTGTCTCCCTGCAGCACTCGGGAGTGCTGGACCGTGGGAGGCAGCTCAGCCAGTTCCAACAGGGCAGCGAGGCACATATGGGAAAGGCGAAGAACTGAAGCTTAACAGGATCCACCAGAAATCTGTTGGCTTTTCTTCATTTTGCCCTTTATAAGTAAAAGAAAACTAGTTCAGCTCTTGGGTTTATCCCCTAAAAGTAGATTTTAGTGTTCTGCATTTAAGAGAATCCAAGCAATTCTTGTTCAGATTCACATGCCAGCATTTTGTGGCTCCTTGTGTTATTGTATGCAGCCATAATGGGCTAAAGGAATACAAAGGGAGTGCTCTGCATTGTGGTAATGCAAAGATTCCATTGGATTTTACAGGCACGGCCCTGTGGGATTCCCAGTCATGGGAAAGGGCTCCTAAAGCTGCCGTTTCTCTTTCCCTTGCAGCAGGGGATGTGCCATGGCATAGCATGACTGCTCTTCCCTTCACATGCCATGCCCTTCCTCAACAGCTCTGACCTCAGCCCATCCTCCTTCATCTTGGCCAGCATCCCGGGGCTGGAGGCTGCCCATTTCTGGATGTCCATCCTTCTGTGCTCCATGTACATCCTGGCGGTCACTGGGAACTGCGTCGTGATGCTCATTGTGAAGATGGAGCCCAGCCTGCATGCGCCCATGTACTTCTTCCTCTGCATGCTGGCTGCCATCGACCTGGCCTTGTCCACGTCCACAGTGCCACGCATCCTCTGCTTCTACTGGTTCGACACCAGGGAGATCAGCTTCAGCGCTTGCCTTGTCCAGATGTTCCTCATCCACACCCTCTCGGCCATCGAGTCCACTGTGCTGCTGGCCATGGCCGTGGACCGGTACGTGGCCATCTGCCACCCGCTGAGACACGCTGCCATCCTCACCACCACCACGACAGCCAAGGTAGGGCTGGTAGCCATGGCCAGGGGAGTCCTCTTCTTCCTGCCGCTGCCTTTGCTGCTCCTGCCCCTGCCTTTCTGCAGCTCTCGGATGCTGTCACACTCCTTCTGCCTGCACCAGGATGTGATGAACCTGGCCTGCGCCAACACCACCCCCAATGTGGTGTACGGCCTCACCGCCATCCTGCTGGTCATGGGGCTGGACGCCGTCCTCATCTGCCTCTCCTACGTCCTCATCCTCAAGGCTGTCTTGCGGCTGGCATCATGGAAGGAGAGGGTCAAGATGTTCAGCACCTGCGTTGCCCACATCTGCGTGGTCCTGGCCTTCTACGTGCCCCTCATTGGGCTGTCCGTGGTGCACAGGTTTGGGAAGGACCTGGCTCCGCTCGTCCACATCATCATGGGGAATGTCTACATCCTGGCGCCTGCTGTGCTCAACCCCATCATCTATGGGGTGAGGACCAAACAGATACAGAGGAGGATCCTGAGTTTAATTCATATCTATGACAGAGCTGCCCAGTGACCTGTGCTCTGCTGCTGCCTCCTGTACCCTCATACTAGACAATCTTGTTTTACACTTGGAGTCCATGCAGGACTGTTCTCTCTTTGTATGGCACACAGCACATGGGAGGAGACTGAGGGGCTGCCACAGAGCAAAAAGCAAACAGCAATTGTAAACTCCTGCCAAGAGTCTTTACACTCACCAAGCTTGGCAAGAATCATGGAATAGTTTGTGTTGGAAGGGATGTTAGAGCTCATCCAGCTCCAACCCGCTGCCATGGGCAGGGACACCTTCCAACTAAACCAGGTTGCTCCAAGCCCTGTCCAGCTTGGCCTTGACCTGCCAGGGATGGAATCTACTACAATGACCTAAACCCAACCCTGATCCAGCGGGTAACACAATGGGAAGGAAACGGGGCTCAGCAAACTAATAAGGATGTCTTGACTTTTTGCTTCTTTGCTCCCGTATCACCCATAACAATGGCAGAACTGAGTGAATGCTACAGTGGGGTTTGACTGGTTTTTGAGTGATAATTCATGGGTTTTGCATGATAATTCATGGGTTTTGCATGATAATTCATGGTTTCCATTTGTGGCACATTCACTTTATGGAGGAGCTGATAGAGAAGGAGCAAAGAGGGAAGTATCAGCACTGATGACACCATGCACCTGGAAGTGTGCTTGAAGGTCTAAGATTTGAAGTGATTTGGTGTTAGGCCAGCTTGTGCAGGGTTTTACCCAGTTGTGTTCTAAAGGCCTTCAAGGATGGAAGCAGCACAACCCCTCTGGGCATCCTTCCTTTGCACTGGAAGTGCTTCGGCTCTCCCTGTACTTGCTGGAGTAATAAAAGCAAGTTTAGCTGTGAATAAGGGGAAATACATGGCATGAACAGCGAGTTGCACCAGGGAAAACAGGAGATGGGTCTAAGGGCTTCACTCAGGGGCTCTTGCACCTTGTCCATAGGTGAGCTAAAAGAGGCGTCTTACCAAAGGCAGGGGCTGTCTTGGCTCAGGGCCTCCAAATGACAACAATAAATGGTGGGTTTGTGCGGTCTCTTCCAGTTGCCGACTGACACTGGGTGCAACTGGAATCCTCTCTGCAGTCTGTGCTCATGCAGCGTCAACCACGTCTTGTTAGAACCTCTTCTGCTCAGTTAAAGCACTCTGCAGTCCATAGCAAGCACTTGGCTTTTGGTGCTGTCTGAGTCCTGCCCTCCTGGGGCTTCGAGGCTATTTTGCCCCTGTCATTTTGCCGTGGCCTGGTTTATCAGAGCTGGGAGGGGTAAAACACATCCATCAAAATGAACCCCGTCTGTTCCTGCCACGTGTGAGTGGGGACGGGTGAAGCGTTCCTCCAGGTGCGTGATGGATCCAAGCCCTTTCCAGGTACCCTTTATGGCACTGACAAACGGGTCCTGCTCATTCTCCAGATGTTCCTTGGGGTTTTCTTTCCTTTTGTGCTGAGAGAAAAAATAATAAAGAAAAATGAATGAACCATCCCCAAAATGCTGGGCTATTTTTCCTTGCCTATTCTTCAGACAGGCAGTTAATGGAGCTCAGAGCATCGGGGCACAGTGATCTCCTGGGCAGAGATGAAAACCATGTGGGATTCTTGATCTTCATCTTGTTTTCCAAAGTTCAGTCATGGGGACTGAAGCCCCTTCCCTTCGTTCCCTTTCCCTTTCCCTTTCCCTTTCCCTTTCCCCTTCCCCTTCCCCTTCCCTTCCCAGTGTTACCTGGATTTGGCTGTTTCTTGCCTGAGACAAGCCCTTGTTGCCTCTGTTTGCCCTGGCAAACAGCTCAGCACTGCCTAAAGCTTCTGTGGAGCACCAGGGCTGGTGCTGATGAGTTCATCTGTGCACCTCACATGTCTCACAGCCCGTCTCCTGGGCTGGACACCCCGTGGACACTGCAGGGTATCAGGTGTGACCCTTGTGCAGACACCCCCCTCGGTATGGTGCAGAGGAGCCCGGTCTGCAGGCCCCAGGAGCACCCCACCAGGCAGGACAAGGACTCGCGGTGGAAGCTGGCAGGATGCGTGCCTCAGAAGTGCTCTCCCGAGGCAGAGCGAGCAGCGCTCGCAGGGATCAGCAGCGCTCTGGGACATCTGAGCTCCCAGCCCTCACCTTGTGCCACTCTGAGCTGCCACTGAGCTTGTGCCACTCTGTTTGCCACTGAGCAGCTCAGGTCGATGCTGTCTGATGCTTTTTTACAGGACTCAAGAGCCCTCAATGTAGGCGAACAGGGCTTCGTGTCTCTGAGCTCTTCTACCTCATCCCACCCTCCCTATTTCATACAATCATAGAACAGTTCGGGTTGGAAAGGACCTTAAGATCATCCAGTTCCAACCCCCTGCCATGGGCAGGGACACCTCGCTCTAAACCATATTACCCAAGGCTCTGTCCAACCTGGCCTTGAACACTGCCAGGGATGGAGCATTCACAACCTCCCTGGGCACCCATTCCAGTGCCTCAGCACCCTCACAGGAAAGAATTTCCTCCTCAGATCCAATCTAAACTTCCCCTGTTTAAGTTAGAACCTGTTACCTCTTGTCCTGTCACTACAGTCCCTAATGAAGAGTCCCTCCCCAGCATCCCTATAGGCCCCCTTCAGACACTGGAAGCTGCTCTGAGGTCTCCACGCAGCTTCTCTTCTCCAGGCTGAACAGCCCCGACTTTCTCAGCCTGTCTTCATATGGGAGGTGCTCCAGCCCCTGATGATTCTCGTGGCCTCCTCTGGACTTTCCTACTTGTTACCAAGCCTGTGCTGGAGAATCATAGGATCTTAGAAAGGTTTGGGTTGGAAGGTGGCCCTGCCGTGGCAGGGGGTTGGAACTGGGTGAGCTTTAAGGTCCCTTGAGCCCAGCCCATTCTGTGATTCCATGATTCTATGAAATGGTGATGGTCCTCATGGAAGGAAATGGATAGAATTCAACTTTAAGCATTAACCTTTCTTCTAAGGAAGGTAAAACCTACAATAACCTTGTATTAACAAATGCCAGAAGTGCTCTGTAAACATAAACCCTTTCAGACATACCAACAATCCTCCCTGATGCAATTTCTTGGAGTGACCTGTCACAGGAGATCATTGCTAACTGGGTTGCACTATGCTAATGCACGTGAAATATCCCAATCAACAGGCAAATACGTTTTACAGGATCCCTGCTCTATGTCTGGGAGAGGCAGCAGCATGAGGGGGAGGCCAGACAACCCAAACTCAGTTAGGAAACTCAAGCACATTATGGTCCTTTGCTCTATTCTTAGTACTAACTGAAGGGCCCTGATGGATGGAGAGGACATCTCTGACCTGGCCCCTGCTCCTTGCAGCTCTCTATCTGCCCGAGCAGCCCTGGCTATCGTGGCCACCACCCTGCTATCTCTCGGTGAGCTGGATCCAGGGGGGTTGCAAGAGGTGGAGCCCCAGGAAGAGGACGCGCGCTTCTGCTGAAGCAAAGCAGATGTCGGGCTGCAGACAGAACAGGAAATGAGACTTTTTGGCACCATTTCAGTGGAACACTTACATGTCAGCTCACTTCATCCCTTCTCTGCAGATAAAGCAGTAGTTTCACAGAGCACAGGCGAGGGCAAAGGGGAAGGCAGAGAAGGAGAGGTACAAGTGCACTTCAGTTCATCCAAGAGCTGTTCTCAGAGCACCCACTTCATAAAGCAGGGCTGCACCTTTCCTGTGGGCTGATGCTCACCCACTGGGGAGGTAGAACCCCATTTTTCTTAAGGCCTCACAAAATATGTTCTTTTTCCCCTTGTCATCTCCATTAAGAACATGGAAGCTGCACTCATGACCAGCGTCCATCCATTCCACCACCTGCCTCCTTCAGGGGAGGAGGAGGTCTTCTAAGAGATGTCTTTTTAAAGAAGGTCTTCTAAGAGATGCTGAACCTAAGGCAATTCCCCAGCAGCCTCCCGCTGACATTCACTTTTAATAGTAGGCTTTCATCCCCCCCTTTGAGATAATGAATCAGTCAAACAAGCAGGAATCAGAGGCACCCAGTGCCTGGGAGATCTCTGGGGTGGTGACACAAAGACGTGTGCCCTGGCAGCTGGGATTCAAGATGCTCAGATTTGGGTATCACTGCACATCTAAGGAACAGTGATCCGCTTTTCCAGGCTGCTTTTCACACATCAGCTCTTGAGAATGCCAGATACTTTCACCAGTGTTTCTACAGACTCTGTTAAAGTGAGTTCTAAAGGGAGGATGTGCCCTTCAGGAAGAGGTTGTTGCCCTCGGACCCTTCTCCTGTCAGTGATGGCTGTACCTTTACATGGACACCTCATTCACCCGATGGGGTAGGCACCAGGGTGAGCCCCCCCGGCCATGCCTGTTCCCCACTGTGGGGTCCCAACAACCCTCTGAGATGCTGATACCTGCACCCAGTGACTGTGGGGAAGGAGAACCCCTGCCTGTGTTACAGCCGGGCAAGGTGGGTGAGCAGGACTGAACCTCAGCATGCAGAAGCGGTTCCTGTGCGACACAGGGAGTGCCAGAGCTCTCCTCCCTTGGAGAAGGTGGTGTGGTTACTCTTTACTTCATTGGTGCTGGAAAACAGCACTTACATTGGTGCACACAGGAGCATCCAACCCAAAACCCTTCACTTGGGCCAGGGATGCTCAGATGCTGCCTGTTTTCATTGGTGCTGGAAAACAGCACTTACATTGGTGCACACAGGAACATCCAACCCAAAACCCTTCACTTGGGCCAGGGATGCTCAGATGCTGCCTGTTTTCATTGGTGCTGGAAAACAGCACTTACATTGGTGCACACAGGAACATCCAAGCCCAAAACCCTTCACTTGGGCCAGGGATGCTCAGATGCTGCCTGTTGTCAGCAGGCTGGTGGATGCTCGTTGGCTGGGTCCCGCAGTGCTGCTGCTCTATCTGTGTTCTCAGCTGTGCACAGCTCCAGCTCCCCAAGATGCAGAACCCGCTCAGTGCAAAGGCTCTTCAATGCGGTCTTTGCTGCCAAGGTTATTTTTAGGGAAGGAAAAGAGCACCAGTGCTGATGCTCACGCACAGACAGAGAGAAAATGGACGTACAAAGAACAATAATGATGAAAAAAGAGCTCTGAAATGAGGGTGAAGCTCGGAGCCAGCAGAGTCCTGCGCTGCAGCACCCGCACAGGAAGGATGTGGGAATCTCATTCA